CTATTATACCAAAAAAAGTATGTAAGAATAATGCGTTAATTTAAAGTTGTTATAGCAGAATTAACTTGTATTTTTTTTTGTTATTAAACTCTCAAATAAATATTGAATTTATTTTGTTATGTACAAAAGCTTTTAGGCACAACGGAATTACTCTTTCTTTAAACTTTAGACATGTGTCTCTATGAAATTATAAAAATTAAATCTAATATTTAAATAATTATACATATAATAGAGAAAGAGAGAGAGACTGAGAGAGAGAAAGAGATATAATATTTCACCTAGTTCGCTTCAAAACCTAAGCCGTGACCGAAAAAAATAGATTGTCCTTTTAATTATATATAGATACCAAATATAAGCAATATTTTAAGTGTTTCAACAAACACGTCATCGTCTGGATTCATCTCGTTAAATCCATAATCCTGGTTATGTTAACTCTCAAGTATAATAAAAAGCATAGTGTCAATATCATGTCCCTTACACTATGACAATGGCGTGGCGCCGAGTGAGCAAACAAAAGAATATGATTGGAAGATAGCGCCTACGTGTGTCTCAAGTGCAGGATTTAGGTCATGGTGGGTATTTGAGTGAATTTATCGAATAACCACTTCCGGATGCGAAAATATTTATTTATTACCAAAAACAATATGTATTCTATTTGATTTTCTCGAACAAAGCACGAACCTGTCATGTAAAATAAATATTCTTTTATAATAAGATCTAAGACTCGTGAGTTTTACTCGTTTAAATGAAACTAATATTTTTCGTATATACTACGCTTGCTTGTTGAAAAGTTACCGAATATAGGGAGTATATAGTTTTTTTTTTACAAAATTAAAGCACGCGTATTATATCCGAAAAAGATTAGTTTCATTTTAATGAATATTTTTTTAATGTTTATTGTTTTTTTTTAGGAATCATAGCAGATACAAAATGATTATTTAGAATACATGTACCAATTCCATCAAGTACTTTTTTATTGTTCGCCACTAGACGGTCGAATGCAAAATAGTTTATCGCACAAGCGTTTTCTTAAATTGTTAGATTTAATGGCTATAAATCTGTAATGGATTGGTCGCCGGCAATAATGTTATACTTTAAACTATCTATAACATAATGAGATGTAAGACTATCGCGCGTATTCATTTAAATGAAACTAATATTTTCGAATTACTACACTTTTTTATTATGATGAATTTCATCTCGTCTGCCCCTGATCACGGTTTCGGCAAAGTAACCGAAATATCAGAAATATGTAGTTTAAAAGAGACGAAAACTCTTAGCATTCAATGGATTTACTATGCGGGTGCCGGGTCCATCTTGTTGTAGGGAGAGGAGCTTCAACAGTGCCTGGGACTTGCGACCCAGGTATAGGGTTAAGGCCTCGGCCTCGAATTTTGCGGGCAGCGGAGCGGGAGCGGGAGCGGCAGGATCTTACGCGTATAATCAAATGGACCGACCCTCGAATACAGCGGTGCCCGCTGCCCGCTATTTTGGAGAAATGTATGCGTTTCCGTGCCGTCGCCGCCGCCGCTCCGCTGCCCGCAAAATTCGAGGCCGAGGCCTAAGGGGCCCCTATCTAACGCGCGTGAAACGCTCACCTCCACTGTCCAAGCACCTCTCTACTTAACCAAATTTCAAAAGAACCTACTAGCAAATCGATAGAAAACGAGCAGCAATTCGAAAATATTAGTCTTGTTTAACTATACCTTATTGCCGATCTTGTAATATATCCAGTAGTAATAAATAGCTTTGTAATAAACAATATGTATTAAAGTTTAAGAAAATGTATTCTTAAAAACTGTTTTCAGTTATTTTTTCTTTTGGAAATATAATTCCGGACAGACGCTATCGTTTATCAAACAGAAAGTGTAAAGTTAAGTAATTTTAAAAAGTATATCTTTGTACTTGATATTACATTGCAATCCCCAAAGAAATAACCGAAGTTAGACGCATTTCGTTAAAATATCGTGTTATAAATATTATCTAAGTCATAACAATTTTTCCTTTATATTAAAACTTAAGATTTTTTTATTGAATATTCAAAAATTATACAAAAAATTTCTTTATGTTTCAAATAGACTATTTTTCTTAAATAATATGTCTAGAATATTATAAAAGACTTTGGTATGTTAATTGTTTAAAATAGACTATGTCTTCTTTAATAATATGTCAAGAAATATGTAAAAGACTTTGATGTTAATAAAATAATGTAATTGCTTTGTGAATAATGTTTTTATGTTACCCTAAAGTTGTAATCTAACTGCGGTGCGTCACTCGGTTATTTGCTAAGAGTGAGAGGACATAAACTGTAAGTTCCAATAAGTGATCATCTCACTGCTCCAAGATAAAGCTGTGTTCATAAAACTTTGACTATTACGTGTTGAATCAATTTTTTTCTTCAAAGTTGATTAGGTAGAGAGACGAACTTGGACAGTTGAAGTGTGAATTTAAAGCGCGTTAGATAGGGGTCCCTTAAACCTACACCTGGGTCGCAAGTCCTAGACACTGATAAAGTTCCTCCTCTCCCTATAACGATGGACCCGGCACCCGCACGGAGAATACATTGAATGATAAGAAGTTTCGTCTCGTTTCTAATATCAATACGATATTAAAAAAAAAATCGATTATATCAAGAAAAAAGACAGGAAAGGCACTTTAAATAAATAGGGTAAAGGGGTAAATCTCACAGTAAACACAAAACTTTGATCCAAACTCTCACATTGCTGTAATGAGTTATATAATACAACTATATGTTTATAATTTAATATTATTTCAAGAATAAAATGTATATTTATTTATTTTTGGGTATGTTGATATAAGTATCTAAACTTCCACGTACATAGAGACGATGTTGAGGTGAACTATGTGAAAGCCATGACCCATTTTGTACGAGTATGTGTGATACACTTATGCTGTGTTTTCTTTCAAGATAAGGCGATAACGTCTCACTATAAGATCGGTTTATTCTAATTCAAGAAGCTTTAAACCTGCTTTGACTTGATACGTAGTTCTTTGTAAATTTAAATGAATTAAATAATTCTTTTACATGATCCTTTGCAGGTTCGAAACCTGGCAAGTACTAATGTGACTTTTTCCATGTTATATGTAGAGTATTTAGATAGCACTGACAGACTGTGAAGGAAAACATCGTGAGGAAACCTCGACTTATACCTCAACCTGAGCAAGCGTGGTTATTAATGCTCAAACCTTCTCCACGTGAGAAGAAGCCTTTGCCCAACATTGGACTCCGATAAACTGATTCTTTGCTATCCTTATAAATCTTAATTTTACCTAAAAAGTTTAAAATTATTTCGATAGGTTTTGTATATAAATCTAAATAAAAATACAAACCAATGACCATTGTAGTCACAGCTTAATCTAATTTACGCTAAGCTAACCCTAAATTTATTATTCTATTCAAGATGAGAGCAAAACGATTTTAGGTTATTTTTATTAAGAAAATAAATATTGGTTCTATAATACCTGACAATTAGACATTAACAGTGAAAAAGAAATGGAAAAAAACATTGCAATATTCTCAAAACACTGCATTGCTATTATTTTATGTAAGTTTTTTAAATAGTTTAACATTTATTTTCTTTAAAAACAATATACAAATATTTTTTTAATTAACCCTCTAGAAATAAAGCAAAATGAATTCTTTTTAATTCTAGCAAACACGTTATTGTATTTCAAACCTCTTAAGCAACTTAAATAATTCTAAACCAATGTGCTTCAGAAGTATTCGACTAAAATATTATGCACTTTGAATCCTCTGCAATAAAAGTAAATGGTTATAGATATAGTTCGTTGAAATATAACATTGATTACTATTTTAAACTACACGATAGCCCGCGACTTTGTCTGCATATAATTAGTATTGAAACAACGCACCTATTTTTAAATTTTTACCTCGTCTTAATTTAACATGATATTATTAATAGTTTCTTAATAATACTAATATAAATTATTTAATTTTACTTTCTTGAAATAGGCTTTCTAGGTTTAGTTGAATGCCTTCTTCTTCCTGGCAATTTCCCAGCTTTTGCCAGGGTCTGAATGTATGAATATTTATATGGTATGATAAAATCTATACAACTTCTAAGTGTAATAAATAAAACAATTAATATATCAGATTCCTATAAATCGTACAAACAAGGAAAATGAGATTTATTGGAATTGTTTATTATAACGGTATATGAAAGATATATGTAAAATACATATAATATGTATGTATATATATTTTAAAGCCATTTTTTAAAGGGTGGACCGAATATTTGAGGGAAATTATCGTCTGACTAAAGAGACGTATAAAGATTTTATATAAAACAAATAAAAAAAAGTATACAATATTTGTCGTTTAGAAGATATTTACTTAATTGTCCTTAATAATTACTAACTTAATTTTTATAATAAAATTATGATACAATTTACCATAACGGATACATCATTTGTTAAATTATAGAGTATAATTTCTTTAAAAAAATATAGTTTTATTGGTTTCTTTTTAGTTTTAGTTTTGCTAAATAGAAATCTGTATCGAGTTAATAATTTTTTTTCCAATAATAATAAATATATATCATTAATACTGCATTCACCGTTCTTTAAAGAAAACAATATCACGACCTATGACATATCGATAAAATTGTTTATAACATAAATAATACAATTAACTAGTACCACCACAGGTATTTACTCATCTGGATTATATAAAAAATATTGAATACATTGCTTCTTAATAAAGAAAATTCTTTATATATTAAAAATATCCTCAATAGATAGACATCGATATATAACGAAGTAAATATTATTGCAATTATTTTGGTACGGGATAACGGATTATTGGGTTCATTTGTTTCATTTAATTATAGGAACAAATTTTATATGATAGTCGATACACAGACCGTTTATATGATTTAATAATATATATGATGTTTTCTTTATTTACTTGAATCATCGTAATCAATGTTTATTGGTGAAAGTATTGCTTACACAGAACAATGTTGAATTTATTGCGAATAACTTTATTTGTTGTGGTGAGTTAAATATTATGAAAAATTTCTTTCACTTTTGCTTATCCTATTTAATTTTTTAATAAGGGAATATATATTATATAGTCGTAATATTTATTTGAACTAATCTTTGATTCATATAATGCAATTTAATCTTTGTAATCACATAAGATTTTTTTAGAATGTTCAATCTTTGTAATCACACTTATAGTACTTTTTAAAATGTTGTTATCTGTACATAATCGGTTTTGCATTTTATATCTTAAGAATATAGTTTTGAATTTTGTACCATATGTATAATTCAGTATACATATATATCTTTACCAAAAATATATTAGTATGCAACCAAAAGATTCGTGGCACGGCTTTATAACCCTAACAATATTATTATTACAGAATTTTTGTCGTAATTTGTCATACTTTCCTATTGTACTAAGTACAAAATATTTTTATATCAAACTTTATACAACATGTGATATAATTCCACACAAATGTATAACTGTTGCAGGCAGTAAATGCGGATTTGTCAAATCATGAGCGGACCAAGGTAGCCAGTCTTGTAAGTAATAAATTTTCATACTAGTCATAAATTATTCATTGCATGTAAATTATAACTCTGTGTGTGTGTGAATATTATTTTATTTGCAAAAATCTTAGATACTTCATTCGCTTTCTTTCGATTATTTTAATGATTCTCTTGTTTCAGTTTACTTATAAAATAAAATGTTTTTTTTTTTTAATATTTAATATATAATATTGACATTTATCATATATATTGTTAACAAAACTTGTGTATCCTATGTATTACAATGTATAATACATAAAACACATAATTGCCTCTAAATCGATATGTCATTTTTGTGAATTTTTTTTTTTTAGAAGCCAATATCAGTATGCTGTGATATTCCAGAACTAGGTGATCCAAAACCTCTGGCTGAGTGCTCAAATATGAAGCTGCAAGGCCCTGTGAGTAATATCACATATTATTATATACGTATTAAACTGTAATTAAAGACTATTTAGTTGTTTTGTATGTAGTACTAACGTACCATACTAAGCCTTAGCGCCTTTGGGATAAAGTTATCTATTGTCTCTAGTATTACTTTGAAGATGATACAATACAATATCATATTTGATATAAAACTTCCATATCACACTGTTAGTTACCGTACTCCTCCAAAACGGCTTTACCGATTTTTACCGATTTCTTTTACAGTAGGTCTGAGAATCGGCTACTATTCCTTTTTCCTATTCCTAATTGATAAGGGCTGTTCACCCCTTATATTTTTATTAATTTCTGGACAATTTTTTTTTATAATGTTTTATTAAAAATACACACCCTATTTTTATATTGCAAAACAACGTTTGCCGGGTCAACTAGTATTTACATATTTATAAATTATCTCCAAGACGATTTTTCCAATAATTCCATTAAGCGTTTTATGTCTATTTCATTAAGTTAGCTCTTGGGAATATTCTTTAGTAAGCTGATATGTCACGACAAAACCTTTTAAGTCTTATTTATATTAGGTCATATTATGTATTTATAGGTTCAGAATTTTCAAGTACAAAAGAACTTTTATATAAAGATTTCAAGAAATATAATAGCTTTTTCAACATATTTAATACACTGATTTTAATCTAAAAAATGAACATTTGAGTAATGTTAATACATTAAATTTCTTATTACAAGCCTCAAACTTTACTTACAAAAATTCGTAAGCTGGTTTGCCTCATCTCACAAAAGTTTTTATTCGGTCAGAGTGCCAGATGAATTTGTAATTTAAATACAACTACAGGGAATAAACTTTTTAGAATCAGCAAAATTTGTACAATTCCTTGTTATTAAAACTTTAACCTGACTTGTTCTCACGTTCTTGAAGTTTCCCTACATACTTGTATGACCATTGCTGACACAGTTATCTGACATGTGGGTTCTAATGATGTGTTCTCGTATATTTAAACAAACGTCAATGTTAAGCTGGATATTTCAATGAATTAGGGCAACTGAAAGCGCATTTGGATACCTAATTCGAATTGGTAAACAGTCACTCGGTCACTAGATAAATAGTTTAGGGTAATAAAATATAAAGAATAATTAATCTTGTATGTGCTTAAGTTGATATATCAGAAAAAATGTCTGACAGCCAAACTGGATAAAAATACAAATATAAAAATAGAAAGAATGAACTTAATAGTTTGATTGAAGTGCAATGATAAATATTACCTTCATATTTTATTTCTAACTTTGTACTTTTAATTTGGATGACGATTAATCGGATAGATTATTATTATTTACAAATTTGTCAAAGAAAAAGTGCTAAATGCGTAAAAATTCATCTTATCCGCATATGAAAGCCTCAGCTATTTCTGATCTTTTTAAAAATACGTGTGGCACATTTGTGTTTAAATCTTCAAGTGCTAGTATTTTTACATGATTGTGAAAGAAAACTACAAATGTATGTAATGCCGGCTTTTAGAATGCTTCAAAATTGATTTAAATCTTTCAGTGCAGTGACGTCCAGTGTGTCTTTGAAAAATCTGGCTTCCTCGTAGAAAAACAGACACTCAACAAAGAAGCGTACAGGAATCATTTGATGAAATGGTTGGAAAGTCATAAGGAATGGAAAGATGGTATCGAAAAGGCCATAAACGACTGCATAAATGTAGACATCAGGCAATATTTGGACTACCCTTGCAAGGCCTATGACGTATTCACTTGCACAGGAATAGCTATGTTAAAAGTTAGTATTACGGAGGTTACTACATACTATGTTAGGATAATTTAATTGCATTTTTACTATTTAATAATTTGTATAGTTATCATATAATGACATGTATTTATATAGTTATCAATGATGTCATTCCTTAATTATTAAAACCTTCCCTTACGTTTTTCAATATAAAACACATTTCTTCATTCCTTGAACAAAATACTTGCAAATTAATCAAAGACTGATACCAACAACATTTCAATGAAAGATATAGATATACGAACTATGAATTTTGGTAAAAGTCATTATATACATATATGTATAAACATATTTGAAGCATGTCTTTATGGTTATTTTATTTCGAATTTGTGTAATTATATTTTTAACTACTTTTTCAGAAATGTCCAAAGGATTCCTGGAAATGCTGAAATAAAACCTACATAAGGAAAATAATATTTATTAGATGAAGAATTTTGCCATTCTTTTTATATACTTACTCAAACTGTCCCTGTTAAAAATATAAAATTTATTGAATATACAACTCTATCACATTATATTTATATTTGACTTACTAAAACTTACGTATTCGACGTGAGTTGTGTTTAAATAATTTCCATTTAATAATAGTATATTTCAAAATAAACGGACACAATTTTTTTTTAATTGTTTCATTCCAACATTTTATTTCTTTAAAACTTATCATTGTTTGCTTTGTCTCAGACGATATATACTACACACATATAGGCGAACAAAGTAGCTTCGGTAACGCTTTTTTTCTTAAAAGTAGGAAAAGATGCTTTGCTACCCCCCCCCCCTCTGTTGACCACTGTAATTATGTGGGGCTACCGGAAAGCTTGCTAGATAGTTCTTCATGGCTGCATATTTACCCACTAAAACAATCAAAAGTTACCATCAACGACATAAAGGTACATCACGGGGTTGCTTTCGCATTTTTCATGATGACATTCATCGATAGAGCCGAATTCAAAGCCCCTATGAATTTATCGTTCAAATTGCTGTACCAATTAAGCTAACATTTGCAACCTGCTTCCTTCATCTGCTCATAATCCTACTAATATTATAATTGCGAAAGTTTGTTACTTCTTCACGCTCAAACGGTTGAACCGATTTTGATAAAAAATTGTATACAGGAAGCTGACGTCCAGGAATAACACATTACATCCCGGAAATCTCGGAAAACTGCGGGTAAAAGCGCGGGGCGCAGCTAGTATACTTATATATTTCATTTGGTACATCATTCTCATGTTTCTGGGTACCCATTGGTTCAATACTAATGATATAATACAATAGAAAAAATACAGGATAGCCCTGACGCAATACTATTATTAATTCCTCAAAGGGATCCATAACTAAATCGTTAATACCTACAATAGTCATTCAAATTACAGTTCATTGTACTATTGTTGTCAAGGATTAGTTTACAGAGACTTAGCTTAAGGACATACTACTTATTACATGCATATTATGTAACCTTGTGTGAATGCAATTCCTTTGTTTAATTAATATTTAATTTGTCACGGTTTTGACATCATTTTCTCTATTAATAATGTGAACACGTTATTGTATTAAAATAGGTCTACGTGCAGCATGTAAGAATTTTTTGTAACAATTACTCAAGTCGATTTATCAAAATTATTGAAAATTTTCTATATAAAAACGAGAAATAAATCGATGCCAATCTATAACTGTGAGAAAAACTAAATTAATTTTAGAATAAGCTTTACAAAAGAGCAAATGAAATATGAATTATTAAGAATTTCAATTCAAGAAACAGGCTTTTAAAATCAATCAAACACTTATTCCTAAATTTGTTTCGTCAATTAAATATAAAAGGAACCTTTATATAAAAAGGAATTTTAAAAAATAATTAGTATAAACGCTTGAGCACGCCGGAGCAAAAAAAATAAGTGCTGAAATAATTCATTTGAGGTAACACTTATTCACACCTGTTGCATTGTGTGAGCAATTTGAACGAAATTAAAATTATATGACATCATATCATTAAAATCGTAATCGGAAATGACAAATAATACACAAAGAGTATTATTAAAAGAATAAATGGGAAATATATCCGGCACGACTCTTGACGTTATATTACCTAAATATATGGTTAAATATTTATTTGTTTTTAAAGATTCCATCAGAAATCAAAATAAAATGCAATTGAAAATAATAACCTACTTTTTTATGAATAAACTGTATCAAAAAGAAAATTAAAATGCATACTGTTTGCTTATAAGTTAATAGTCATTTTAATCTATATTTTTCAAAATAAATATTTTTCTGCAGACATCGTGAACAGTTTGTAAAGATTCAATAGTCATTTTCACGTCAATGTGATCTTTGATATACTGGTTCCTGATTCGTCTTTCAAAGGAAATATGTAAAAGTCACTCAGAACGAGATGCGGTTTCTAAGAGACTCTGCACTGCCTTGCTGAAATATCGCTCCAAATGAAAGTTTGCTATTTATTTTTCTCCTCAAAAGTTTAATAGTAACTAGAAAGTGAGTGTTCTCATAAGTTTAATAGTGAACTGATAAGTGAACATTTTACGTAGTTCAAAAACTTATTTGATAAAATTTAGGTAGTATACTTAATTCTTTATATGTGAAGGAGACATGTTTCAAAGTCATAGTCATTTGTTTGGATCAAGATCCAATCTCTATATCTAGACAGTATCGGCAGCCGCTATTCTTTTAAAAAATCATATCCTATTTGTAGCTTTTCAACAATGTTGACAATTCTTTCACAAAAAGTTTAATCATATTCTTAATTTTCACTATGTTCTTATTCTAATTAATTTTAAAATACTAATTAGATATTTATTTCATGTATTAATTTGAGTTTTACGTATAGAATAGTGGTTGTTGCGACCATAAAAATACATATATGTATCATTCTAATCATATATTCAAAATTATAACCGAAAGAATATTTGGCTGTCCGAAATTATCACGAAGTAATATTGTTTTTATTTAAAAAAACGTAATGAAACTTCTTTTTAATGATCCTTTTGTAACATTGCAAAATTCGAGCAGCTTAACCAGCAAAATATTAATCTAGACCACTAAATTAATACAAAAGTCAAAATTATAGACAAATAACAAAACTTTCTTGAATTTTGCCATAGAAATTTAAATATACAATGTTTGATATGGTGTTTAAAACATATGTAAATGGTTAAATAATATGTTACACGATTCACAATGCTGTATGGAAACAAAAATCGCAACACCTTGGTAACTTCCCGTATACAATAGACGACTCGACGTCGGCTATAAAACGAGTGTGGCTCTGGTACATGGCCACTGCATCCCAGTGTTTCAACCATGATAGGAATCAGCTTCTGTGTGATATTGACGATTTTCCAAGTAAGTGAAACTTTCTTAACTTTTTATGTTAATTTTTAGTGTATAACTAAATTGATTATATTTTATTTTAACTTAAAAAACTGTAAGATACTTTCAAGAGACAATTATCGATGATTTTATAAAGAATATGTACATTTTTTTAAATAAATAAAATGTAAACAAAAAATCAATATTACATAATTATTTTAATCGTGATATAGAAATATTTATTCATTGTTATTGACATTATTTTTGTGTAAAAATTTGTTTTGTATAAGGACAATCATTTTGATTATTTATTTTCTGTAATCTGACCTTTAATTGCAGGTTGTGTTAGCCGACGTGCCCCCTCACTGTAGAGGACCACCACCTGATGGGGTAGGTACCTCAATTAATATATCAACCAAATATTTCTGACCGAAAAAATAAGTATTATATTTAATAAAATAATAAAACAGAATTGAAGGGTATTAGTGAGAGAACAATAGAAAGTGAAGGATATAATTTAATACTATGCCATTGAAAAAAGATAGATATTTCTTGTTTACATTCTTCTTAGAACAGATAATCTTTTTATATCAAAGGCGGCAAATGAGCATATGGCCTACTTGATGGAAAGTAGTCATCGTCTCTCATGGATCTGTAACATAAGGGATGTTGCGAATGCGTTGCTGACCTTAATTGTAGAAAAGGGAGAGGAAAGGGTGGGAAAAGAGTAAGGGCAGAAAAGGGTGGGAAATGTGATAGGAGACCAGCTCTCTCACTCATCGGACGAAATTCATTCGTAAAAGACTACTTCACGCCGATTTCCTGTGAGAGGGTGGTACTTCTCCGGTCGAGCCAGCACATGTTCGAGCTGCAGTAACTTGAGCATAGCTAGGTTTTACTACCTGAAAACATTAATCTTTAGCATAACTTTTAATTACTTACAATTCATTATTCTTTTTTCTCCGTTATTTATTTATGAATTGTATTACTACTAGAACTTGTGCCTAAGACGTATGTAAAATATAATTGGACCCTTACTTCGCAGGCCAATCCAAGAGACTGTTGCAAGTTACCCAAGGTTTTTACTGAAGAAGATTTCAAAGAGTGCGGTATTGAAAAACCATCAAAAGAAAGGAAAGTTCCCGAAGTAAGTAACCTAAACACGTTTCAAAACGATTCCTTCAATGCAAATAGTTATATTAATTTATCATTTCAGTGTTCTAAGCAAATATGTCTGTTGAAACGATATGAACTAATGAAAGATGACACAAATGTTGACAAAGATGCTGTGGCGGCCTTCCTCGATAAATATAGCGAAGGAGATGAGGATATGCAAAGTGCTGTGGAAGCCACCAAACAGAAATGCTTGAACAACGATCTGCCGAACATCCCAGAAATATGTGAACCGAGCAAAATCGTCTATTGTGTTGCAGGCTCCATGTTAATGGTAGAAATATAAAATCTAATATTCTTTTATAGATCAAACTTTATTATACATTTAGACTAATTTTATTATTTTTTTCAGAACTGTCCTAAGTGGGATGAAGGTGAGGCATGCCAAAAACTTAAAGATCATTTTGATAATTGCAAGAAGTATTTTCCTTAGATTATAGTGTAACAATACAATAACTGCGCTTTGAAGTCTGTTACATCGTTTAATGAATAAAACTAATAAATTTTATGTACTGTCTTTTTTATCTATTTTCATCGTTTCTCTTCAGCCTCAACATAACCGATATATTACATCAACTTCGATTACATTATAAAACAACATAAGAGATTTAAAAAGTTATCTCTATATATAAATAATTGGTGTTTATTTTGGTTAACTTTTTTGACGAAATGTTAGTGATAAAATCAAGTGTACTGATTTTTTTTTTTAAATAATACATAATTTTTACCATAAACTTACAAAAGAATTTACCCACCCTTTTAACTAAATAAATAAGTAATTTACTCTGTAAATACAAGTTTCAACAACCAATACCAATTCACATGGTTTTTACAGAAAGCGAATAATAATAATTAATACTTTTACATCACTTTTATACGTCAAAATTACTTGTAAATTTTACATATGATTGCGGAATTTTATCTATTAATTGTACATAATATTATTACTCAGATAATGTTATATAATATTCATATAAATGGCATCACTTTTGTATAGAAAACATTAAAACTATATATTAGCAAAATATGCAGGTGTATTTCAATTATATGTATGTTTATTTAAATTAAACAAAAATCAACATGTATATATATAGCCATTATAGCTGCATATTTTGGAATTGGAGCTCAATGACTGATAAATTCAAAGAAAAATCCATTTATTTACACCCATGTTCTGAAATATTTATTAAAGTTTATTTTCAAGACAAAAATGAATATAATTTTATTGGTATAGCGAATTTGTAATCTCTCCGGCTTGTTTATTACTTGGAAAGTGAAATAAAATACACGAGTGGAATATAGTGACGAATAGTTGAGTAAATGAACAAAATAAAGCATTTAATAATTTTAGTAAAAGAAACAGACTTTGTTTGTATTTTAACATTCCAAAACCATTAATACTATAGGAATGTAAATTTATTGGTAATATTTAGGGACTTTCTGAAGAATTTTTAATTCCTTCGTTTTTAATAATTTATTAAACTTTATTGCAATTAACATGTAGTTTGTATACATTTAGAATTTAGAGCTTAGAAAATGTTTGTGTATTTTAAAGTTATCTTTTGACTAAAATGCCTTGAAATCACCATAATCCAAAAGATGATTGGTGTCGGTAATACGATTAGCCTAAAATTCTTTGTATAGACAAAGACACTTACAAGCAATATTAATCATATACGGATATAATATATACAGATGCTTTTTCCCGGCCTGTCAGAAAATCAAACCTTTCAAACAAACTTAGACTATAACAATATCCAAATTATCACTAGCACACATTTGAATAAAACTTGAGTTTCTGATATACTACACGCATTTATGATGTTATATTTTAAGGGAATATATTTTTTATGGGATATATTTTTATCCAAATAAGTTTAATGATTTAGTATTTGTTAATAACTGCTTATCTGAGCCAATGTTGATCAACGCTGGGGCTCCCAAGGGTCTATCCTCTTGGCATTTCTATTTATGCTGCAAAGTATACTTGTGGACTAGTAGGCAGGTAGCCCTAAGACCAATTTGGATCAATTAGAGTTAGAAAAAGTGGTTAATAGAACAAGATGTGGGGAGCGATACATTTAAATCTACCACCTATAGGTGAAAAGAGAGAAAAGCTTCTAGCCAGTCAAAATTTAAAAAAAGAGAAAAATATACTGTGAATCGTGACTTAATAACAATTCTATTTAAAATATATTAAAGAATATTTTATAAGTGTTTTCGAGAAGCAGAACTCCATCGAAATTCAATATATCTTCTTAATATGATTTTTTCATTCTTACTTTCCACTTTATTCTTTCTTTGTATATTTCATTAAAAAAATATTTTTACCATCATATTATGTGACTTATTTCCTAAAGACCTTACACTTAAGTATGTCAAAAGAACAGAAAGTTTGAAAATCTAATTTAACACAATTGTAACATTTGTAGAATTTTTGCTTCACATCCAAAAATTCTAAGAAGTCGAACTTCTAACAATGCATGTTTTCTCAACTTTGTCGAGTGGCTCATTTGAAAAACAAGTGAGGAAATATAATATGATTTACCTATGCCAAAACTTGGTTTTCAGTTCCCACTGCAGTCTGTCCCGAAAGTCGAAGCCTATTAATATCCACAGACATCTTTATATTATAGCAAAATTTTAAAACATGTTATAACCTTATAGTTAATATATATTTTAAAGTCAGTGGTGGCCTAGTGGTTAAAAGGCCCGCCTCTCATGCACGAGGGCTCGATTCGACCCTGGCCCTGGCAAGTAGAAATATGATTTTTCAGAGTCATGTACTTTCTAAAAAGTATTTAGACATCACTGATTAATGCATTCCTAAAGAGGGTTGTTATCAGGCAAGCGGCCGGAGGTAAAAACAATTAGCCAAAACTATTCACATGTAAGGCAGACCCTGGCTAAAGCTGGGAATTGCCAGGTAGAAGAAGAGTAAATATATATTTAATTATTATAGTAAAAATATTTATTTAAAGCAGACTTGCAATCTTTACTTGATTAACATTTTTTAAATTAACATAACTAAAACAAGTCATAGCGTCGTATGATTAATGTAGTACAGAGTCTAAAGTAAACATTTAACAGTAAGTTTTGTAAATGATTGCCAAGTTTATTATAACAAGCCATAACTTCCTTTTGAATAATCTTATACTGAAAAATAGGATTTCATTCATTTACTTAGCGACGTACGATCGTTTTGGAAGTCTGAAATGTTCTTATTAATTCTAATTTCAATTTTATATGTAGTACGTATTTGTATAAAATTCATTAAGATTAAAGTGATAAGTTTAAATTTAATCATATTTTCAGGTCAATTGTCAACTGGAAGAAAATATAAAGCCAGAGAGATGCTATGGTGATGACAATATTATGGTAAGATAAAATCGTTTTAATATTACATATAAATACATATAGTAGTATGTTCACACTTTTTATAAATATGAAAAATTTTCGCTTCTCGGTATCCTTTTAAATAATTTTCATTTACGCTGTTATCTATTCTTTTCAATATACAAGAAATTATTAACTGATTTAATTACCAATGTTTGAGACTTTACTAGTTTTCGTACATAGAAGTTTTGAGTGTTACTGAAATAATCATTTAAGAAGCTTATAAGTTATAACAATAAGGTATGGATCAATACTGTAATCTTAAAAAAAAATCTTAATTGGAGTATATACTTAAAAATATCTTTTAATCTAACATACGTAAAATATTTTACCAAAACCAACCCATAAAGTCCAAAAACTTAATTAATTATTAGTTTTAAGGTAAATATTAAACTATATTTTGATGAAGTAATACATAATATAAAATTTTTGCATACTTAACTATATATCTTTTTTCTAAAATATGTTCTAGGATAGACGCTGTTGTATTTTTCCACCATTCTTCAAACGAGATATTGCCCGATCCTGCGGTGCTAGATTTGCTCTCATGGAATTAGTTAGGGAACATAATGTGACCACCTTAAGAAGATCCAATGCTGATGAAAATGTATGTGAGAGGAAATGATTTTTGGATAAAATTGTACTTAAGGAAGAATATTTTTATAACTTAAACCAACTATTACTCATAATGAAATATGTTTGCTTATTTTCATATAATAAAGGAGTTTTCATTACAGTGCGATTATTGGAAATGTCTGCTAACTAAATACGGCATGTTGGATTCCAACGAAAATCTGAATGTTGATAATTATTTCAGTCACCTGGACAGATGGTTAACTCTCAATCCAGAATTTAATCCAATATTGGTTACCGCTAGAGTTTACTGCCGTGATTTAAAAAGACACTACTTCCCTCTCACTACTTGCGAATTTTTTGACTTTCAGCTTTGTATACGAGGATACGTTAATGTGGTAAGATTGAGAATGCAATATCAAAAAGTGATGAAACGAACATTAGATTTATTTTTTAATTCTTTTCAGCACTGCCCCTTATATATTCAATCAAAGGAATGTATAGAATGGAAGGAATTTTACAACGACTGTAAAGAGTATTACATATAAATGAAAATTAATATTATTTATAATCTAATTTATTCTTATTGCATTATTTATTAAAGATGACAATGAAATGGAATGTGTTATTAAAATGCGCTAAATTACAAAGCACATAATTATTATTACATGATATCATAGCTACATAACTACAAACATTTCATTTTGTTTTAGTCTGGAGGTACAATGCATATTTTTATTAACTACATTATGATACCTTCACACCAACACATAAACTACTAATACAGTATGTATTTCTAACTGGAATCAATGATTATTCTCATATACGTACATATTATATCACACTCGCCAGTATGCCAACACTGCCTTAGAGAAATAAAGTTTTAGCTAAACTAACAGTCTTTTATAGCCTTTAAGGTAAGAGCCTGGGATTGTAACGGCCTACGTAAAGGATCATTCCAGAAGGATTGTGTCTCACGAAGTATAAGAATGGTCGATCGAATTTTAATCTGGCCGGTTGGGAACTCCTTGTAGGGAGTCTTGCCTGTCTTGGTCGTAGATGCAATGGTAAGTACATCGCTTCACCAGCGTCGTGAGGATCGTGGAAAGCTCGTTGGTAATCTCTAGGCTCGCCCCAGCCATTCCATCTAGACGTCCTACGTTTCGATCTAACTTCGATAGTATCAGGATATTCTTCTATATGATGCTGCTCAGCAATGATACCTTCCCCACAAGTAGCGAATGAGGTTTGTTGAATCATATCAGTAAGATAAAGATCCTTCGATGGACCGTTCAATCCACCTAGATCAGCATGCTCCTCACTAAACAAATCCTTTAATCCCATACGTTGTAACGTCGATGATACATTGAATACAGATTTGTGCGAGAACCTAGGTATCTGCAATTCCAATCCGAACCTAGGTAGTAAAGTACGCAATAATCTGTTCCAAGCTGGTGTTATAGGATCAGATTTCAATAACCTCTTCTCTAGATTCTCCAAGTCGTCAGAATGAACGATGTTTCCTTGCTGTCCGGGCATGAGGAAGAGAGTGCTGATGATAGATTTGGTGTTACCTAATGCTGCTGCTGTAGCATCAAGTACAGGATCATACCCAGCGAGGAAGTCTTCGCGATAAACCACGGCCGGAACAGGAACTAAACGACGCTGTCTCACACTCGGTGATACAACGAAGTACATCTCACCATCCCGACCTTCAACTGACGATCCGTTGCAATCCGTCTGAAATATAATAAAAATTGCTTACGTACCATATAAAATTGGAATTTTAAAACTATTTTCTCATAATCGAAATACTTTAATAGTTTTATTTATTGTATGTAGTATGCAATAATTACTAAAATATGGGATATTTTTATGGATATATGATTAATATTTGATAATATTATTATATTTAGTTTATTTTTACATTGTTTTCAACTAAATTTTTACTTCAAAAATAACCTTTTATTATCTCATATTTATAATTTTAATCTTAACAATTAATATAACATAAAAAATTAACCTATTGCAAGATATTTGTATTTTCTACTACCACGTTTACTTCTGGTACGAAATAAAGTTCTGATTTTATATTAATATTCAAGGAAACGATTCAGTTAGAATACCTAAACACTAATGATTCACAACTCATCCTGTGAAACCGATTTTTTTCAAGAATAAAAATGAATTTTAAAATTGAGGCTTTGTTAAGACTATTATACAGAATCAAACTTTCATAAATAAGAAAAAAACTTACGTAAAATATATTAGCTGCAAAAGCCGCTAGAGGTGGGTTCATAACAATGCTGTTACTCTTCATATATTCTGATATTTTACCCCAGGAATATCTTTTCACGAGTAAATTAGTTCTTCGTCTTATTATATCGCTGATCAATTTAAAGTTTACTTCCTCTACATGTCCGTTGTAGAAATGCTGAGCTCTCTCTTTATAGAATGTTAAGAATTTCCCCTTATTTCTTTCACTGTACAGTTCTCTTATAAACGCTGAGACAGCCACGCCCGAAGAAGGTGCAGTGTCTATTGAATCGGAGATATTCTTCAATGTGAAATGAGGATTAAATGTAACCATGTCATCTAGTTTCAACACTTCGTTCATTTCCCCTGATGTAGATCCTTTTGCTCCCATGAACATCATGGCAGCCATAGAAGTTATAGAATATGGTGAGAAGACCATACTACGTTTCTTATCTATCTTTTCAGTCATAATATTCCAGTATTTAAAAGCCAATTCGTTACAAAGCTCCGTGAATTCCATTATATCGTCAGGCAAATCTTTCGTGGTTACTTCTAAACCTTGATTTTCTTTTGGAAATTCCAAAACTATATCTTTGTCATTATCGGGAGTGTAAAATCCTTCTACGTTATGTTTGTCTTTTGCAAGTTCACTTAATTTAACGACTGTAGGTACCAGTTTCCAAGAACTATTCCTCTCGTTAGAAAACTCTTTGTCATCGATGTTGACTTTTTGAATTTTTTTCTTAAAATCTTCGATTTTAGGTAACTCCTCGGATATTTTTTGTTGTTTATTTATATTGCTGCTTTTATTTGTTTCTTGGGTCGTATGTGGTACGTTCGTTGTGTTAATATCGTTAACAGAACTAGTAATTTTAATAGTGCTAGTAGTTTGTTGGTTGTCATTGGTCACCATTAAACTTTCTTGTTGTAAATGATTCATAGGAGCTCTAGTAGTTACTTGAACATTATCTTTTGGAATAGACATAGCGTCAGTAGTTACAGATTCAGATGCAAGAACAATGTTTGTTTTTGTTTTTGACGTATTATTTAAATTTAATAATAACAGTGGTTCTGAAGGAGTTTCTTTTCGATTTATTTCCTCATTATCATTATTCTTTTCCGTTATAATATCATTGCTGGTTATTGGAGAATTCGTTGTTATCTCTGTCTGATAATTTTCTGTAGTCGTTTCTAGATTAAAAGTGTTTACTGTAGTCAGATCAAGAGATGTTGTGGTAATATCATTATTTTCATTGTTATTTTCAGACACAACAGTCGTGGAATCTGGATCTTCGTTAGCGACTTGAGAAAGAAGATTATCCATTGATTCTGATAAAAGAGTGTCCATGTTATTAAGTGGAGGAGATGACGTTACAGGTGGTTTAAGCTCTGATGAATTGTTTGAGTTTTGAGATGAATTTGGAACTTCATCCTTAGCATTTACACCGTTTGCAGCAGGTTCAAAAGTAGAAATTTTTACAAACTTATCCACTTCTTCAGTTTTATTTTCTTTGACGTCAAATTCGACACTTGGTTCCGTTGGTATATCTATTTCTAAATTCTCCTTACTCTCGATATCTATATTGTTAATTTTAGTTGTTTCTAATAAGTTTGTGGATGTTGGAACTGGGGAGAAATTTCCACTCAAATCTGAGGCTATTTGACTTAAGCTTTGTGCAACATCAAACAAAGGTATGGTAGAATCTGAGTTATAGTTTTGAGTATCAAAAGGTGACGGATTTTTTTGTTCAAAATTGCTCGGTGATTCATGTTTCGAGGTTGATGCAAATTCCGTGGGAGATATGGAAGTTGAAGGAGAAATAGATTGAGTAGTCATAGTGGTTGCATTTTGTTTTTCAAATTCCTTGTCTTTGTCTACAATAGGTTTGTTTGTGCTGGTGAGAATTGTAGTTTTTTGAACTTCTAAAGAATTTTCACTAGACATTGGATACTTATTACTCATTATAATTATTTTAGTAGAACTCTCCGTTACATATGACACTGTAGAAACCGGAATATAATTTCCTTCTTCGTGGGATTGCTTTATATCTGCAACAGTATTGGTACTTGTTTTGGTAATATTAGACTTTTTCGTAGGTGTCTTATTGAAATTATCGCTTAGGCTTAGAACTATAGGAACTTGTTTGGTAGGCGTTCCTTCACTTGATGTGGCAGTAATTGGTTGTTTTGTTGACGTAATTTTGGACTGTTCAGTAACATTGGAGTTTTTTGTTGAATCTGTTGAATTTTCTTTAGGTTTATACATCGGTTTTGCTTCTAAATTGATTTTTCTAGTTGTAGTTGGCCTCGCAGTAGTTGAAGACGGCTTTTGAGTTGTAGTTAAAATTTCCTGTGCTGTTGTTGAAATGGGTTTTTGTGTTGTGGTTGTCGTCGTCGGCAATGTTGTTGTTTCTAAAGGTTTTTTTGTAGTTGATGGTATTTCGGTAGTACTTTCAACTACTGGTATTTTATTCGTCTCTGAATTTGGATTCATTGGTATATCGTTGCTTTCCTTACTTAGAGAGTTTACGCCTTCCTTATTGAAACCATTGATATCGATTGTTTCTGTTTCTGGCGTGATAAAAGAATCTGATAGTTTATCTGGGACTATATCCATACCAGTATTACCAAATATCGATGGCAATATCAGACTCCAAGAATCTGACACGTCTGGTGTGTCTAAAGTGGGTTGAATGTACGGTTTATTTTTATGGGCTTCCATTTGTGCTTTAAGAACATTCTGAACATTGGCAACAACATTATGTACTTTAGTTTGTGAAGGTTGACTAAAGTTAAATGTTAATGTCGGTAAATTATCATTAGCGAATGTAACCAGACCGTCTGTTTCTTCTCCTGCCGCTACTATCGCCTGTATTTCTTCTAAGGTCATTAGCCTTTTAACAAGTTCGCCGGATTCATCAAATGTATAAAACTCATATTTATCTGGGGTCAGTAAGTTAACAGGACTGCCAACGGTTGCAGGGCCACTCGATGGAGGAGGGAGACTATTTCCAACCGCGTCAGCTACATATGGAAGCTTCGTACGCCTGGAACGTAAATGATTTTCATTTAAGCATTTTTCATACAACATATTTAAAAGACACCTTATTAATAAAAGTTTATATGATAAATAATATCAATACATTTTTAGAGAGGGTTTTAAAATGTTTTTTTATTTTCTAATGAGATCTAAGATTTTCGCGAGTACTCATTTAAATGAAACTAATTTTATCGGACGTGATCCGTGATCACGGTTGCTGAAAAGTAGCAGAAACGTCGTTAGTATGTAGTTCATAATCAAAAATAAAAACGTGAAGTATAGTCCGAAAATATTAGTTTCATTTTTATTTTCTATTTATACACACAACAAATGAATTACATACCTGATCTGATTACTCTGTGCGCTAACACAAACAGCTACAACGAGCACGTATATAATAACCCGCATTCTGTCACTCTTTACACCTGGAACTGAGAAAAATTCTGATTATTATCATGCAAACGATATATACATATTTCAATAAAAACTCATTATCTATTATAAGAAAGACATGTTTAAAGGGATGAGGTTTAAATTACAAAGCAAAATATTCCTTTTCTAATTTTTAAAAAGTTGCTTTATATATTTGAAAAATATATACATATATTATTTCTTTTGAAATAATTAACTGCACTATTTTTATTACAAAATTCTTAATACCAATTAAAATCATTTTGAACATATTGTACTACCATCTTTATTATATAGTCATCTATCCCATAATATATATCAAGTTTGACATAATAAAGCTTCAACATTACGTAAATAGACATAATAAAAACTGTTACATTAAAAACCTGCTGAACAAGTAAAGCGCCGGTCATTGTCGCACAAACTCGAACTACAAGTTACGGCCCGTGAGCAAATGTCTTTAGTGAACATTTTATTTTTTATTAGACGTCTGTCATTCTACAATTTCTTTTATTTTATTATTAGGTATTTTATTATTATTATTAAATTTAATTCTTGAGTTCGTTTGTATATATAGATTTTTATTTAAGCATTCATAATTTCATTTATATCTGTTTTGACATGTTGTTTGCAAACGATCGTAGTCACTTGACCACGAGAGGTGTTAAACAGGTCACTCAACCTGTGCTAAGGCTTAGTGTACATTATATAAATATTTAAAAATATTCTTACATACCAATTAAATATATAAGCTAAGAAAAAATTTCATATAACAATAGAGATGACATTATTAGTAATTACATAGCTTTCTTTTATTTACACAAAGTTACAATCAAAATTTATTATATCGTTATTATTTGATTGTACGAATAATATACATATTTAATAAATAATCAAATATATTTTTCATATAATATTAATTATAATAAATTAATAGTGTGAACCCGTCCTTATGCCATCAAACGGTAAGTAATATAGACAAGCTATTATCTTGACCGCTGTATTAATGTTCAGAGACTTTATAGAGCATTGGTTATGATATACCACTTATATACTTATATATATGTATATATATAAACAATATTTTTTATATAAATTTCTGTAGGTAATACTTCTAAATTTACCTTAAAACTCGAAAAAAATCTTTGACAAATTGAAGCCTTAATATATAATCAGTCAACGATGAATATAACTTTAACTTAAGAGCCTCTTAAAATTAGATCATTAAATTCACTTTACTGAATCTTTGAAAACATTATTTATATTTTCAGGTACGAAAATAAAATTATATAAGAGAAAAAAAAAAGGAAATTTTTCATACAAAATAATCAAAAGTAATGTATAAAGCTTCACAGTCGTAATTATTACTTGTAAGTAACTTCGATATATGATATCAACTTATATGAAATATAAGCAGCAATGCTTACACAGCAGCAATGCTTACGAGTATATAGCAGCAATACTTATACAGCAGCAATTTGCTTCCTATTCCCTTAACACCAGCGAAATATTTCACCAATAAATTAACACTGATTCATTTGAAACTCTGACACCGATCCTGTTATCTAATACATCACAGTCTGAACAGTTTTACTTCGCATAAACTAAACGCCGAGATTAATATCGGTCGTATAAATCAGCTTGTTCAAAACTGATTTTATTGAACAACATTAAAAATACATTTAAATGATTAATTAATTGAAATGAATGTACTTTTTATGGTCGTTTAGAGATTTCATGATATAAAAAGTAATTGATTTGATATGATCAAATTTATATATATTTTTTGTAGCCACTATAATGTTTTTTATATGAAGTTAAAAGTAATATTTATTATCATAAACATTTAATCGATCTCCTAAGAATGAAGTATCTTCGTTGATTCTTAACGAGTAGAACTTCGATCCATCTATTGTCATTTCTTAAAGTAATTCTTTATACAAGAACATATAATATATTCCATTGAAATATTTCCCATACAACTAAATTTTCCTTTTATTATGTATATAAAATCCTCCAAAATTATAATGAAAGCAAATATATCAATTAAGAGAGACAACAAAATATATTATTCTAACACAAACATGTTTCTTGTGATCATTTCAAATGCCAAAATTATACAAATGAAAATGAAATTATATTTGTTTGAAAAATATATCTATCTATAACAACAGTTAAAAACGTCCTATTACTTATTCGCTGCGATTACTTAAAATTAACGTAATTCCAAAATTCCGTTGGCTAAAGAAAGTAAACGCGCAGATAACGGGACAGATGCCGTGACAGTTGAGGTTAATGACCTTGCTTTTTTGCCGGAAAAAGTAATTGTTTGTGTTCCATAGAGATATATTGAAATGAGAAGATACTAATAAGGTTATAGCTGTCTATGTATAATTGATTTTTTGAGTTAACTTGTTTGTCTTGCTTAAATATAACACACTTAAGTGACCTCGCGTCAAATAACTGTCTTTCATTGATTTCAAACTGTTGATTCTTAGACAATAATATATACATAAAATATTGAGCTTCAAGTGAAAATTATTACTTAATTAATTATAATAAAACTTGTCTTATCGTTTACAAAAGGACAAAAAGTTAAGGACCATGGTGAGAAATCTACAAATATTTTCTATATTTAATAAAACATTTTAAAATACGAGTATATTTCTTCCATATAAAATTGGTTTCGGTTGTATATTTCATCAATTTATCATAAAATAGTGAAATATTACTAATAATTTAAAAGTATGTTTTTTTTTAACTGTTTAAGAGACAGATACTTCTTTGAAGCAGAACAATATCCAAAATATACATTTACCAATAGAATTATAACCAAAGAAAGTAGCAAATAAGGTACAGAATTATTATAATGACTTAAATATATTTATAGTCAATTTCACACTGTTGTTTCATATAAAATTATTGAAAATACCTTTTTGCTTTTATGAAAAGAGCGTCGTTTATTCAAATTATTCCTGCTACCAATTTGTTTATGTATTTATTATAAATTAAAAGATTAATTCTCATATTAAAACACTTTTATTCCTGTGGGAACATATTCTGTTTAATTTTCTAGTCGGACGATAATTTCTTCAGATGTCTTCCACAGACAACGAGACGAACCAAGGCTTAGTTTTTTACAATGCTCGACTTTCGTTTTTGCCTCCGACAAAAAAACAAGAAAGATTTTACTAAGGCAATACATTTGAAAAGAAATTCATGTTCTATATTCCGTACCTCTTGATTCTTTAATCTTGATGAAACTATTGAACTAACACTAAACTATTAAACTTTCAATTAAAATGTAATAAATACTCTCTGAAACACCATAAATCAAAGAAACTTCAATTAACTATTTGAATTACAATATATTATTCAAGATTTTGATTTATTTACGCGTACATAATAGTAACAGTAATTTTCATTTCAATTGTCACCCTTTTCTATAACAGCTATTCGGCGATTTTTCTTTAAAGACAATGCTTTCAATATTAATTACCAGAGTTAACTGAAACGCTAACCTTCAAAAGGTTGTACTTAACCATGTGTCACGTAATTTTGGTAATAAAACCGATTAAACTTTAATAAATAAATTAAAATTTTATATATAGATATTGTATGAATGAGTTAAAATCAGTGGCGGCTGTACCTTAAGTGCGCCCGTGCGCTGAACCACCAATTCAAAATATTTAAAAATTACAAAATATTATGTCATCTTAATTTTTAAATTACCATTTTAATATTTATTTTTTAAACATACAAAAAGGTATAAAAAATTTAATTTCCAATTATGGTCAAAAAGTTTGAGCGCTTTACTAAACTCATATCGTGCGCTCCGGCGAGTGCACGAGGACTGCTAATACATCTTGTATGAGACACGCATCAATACGCCTGACGCGTGAGACAAAAGATAGTTCATAGAAATGTACCGAGTAACGAGTCGGTTCTCGCGCGCCGCACGAAGCGGCCGAAGGTCACCGAGAGCACCCGATGTATGACGTATTGAGCCGGCCGGCAAGGGGCCGGCCGAAAGGATGGGTGCTATGATTGACATCTCGTTAATCGTTATTGGTATTGTTTCAACTTTCACTGTATGCGTGACGCGTTAATTCGTTATTGTTTATAATTATTTCCGTAATTCGTTTTAGTTTTTATTTCGTTTCTATAATAGAACTTTTATTCTGTACTGTGTTTTTTATTAGTTGAAAATGAGTATAAATATTGATTATATTAAAGAAAATAACAAAATTTTTCAAAGTAAAGTGAACATAAAATTGGCCGGGCCGCCACGGCCTTTTTTAAATTTAAAACAAGAGTGTAAATCGAAAAATAAAGCATTTATACGAAGTTTTAAAAGTGAAATGTATAATAGAAAGAAATGGTTGTGTGGATGTGAGCGTCTTAATACATTCTTTTGTTTTCCTTGCATTATTTTTGGCGGAGAATCGATTTGGACAGAAACAGGAATCAGATTTTAATAAAAAGGTGATAGAACATTTCGCTACAGAAAAATGTCGTCGCATTGATTTAATGTACAAAAAATAAACATATTTTATGTCAATTGTTGTTTTTGTCAATATTTTAGTAAAGTGAACCACCAGTTCGATAACCCACCAGCCGCCACTGGTTAAAATAACATTTTATTAAAATGATTTGTCTTAATTTAACCCTTCGGATGATTTATTACTTTAGGGTGTTTGAATAATGGCTCCCTAGCGTTGCTTCTATTATGAGGATACGTATAAGAAATTTAATAAATTACTACAATAAAAATTACGATGATCATTAACATACCCCATTTTGAGAATAAAACTTTTCGTTAATGTCTAGCACGATTCGTTGCAAACCAATATATGATGAACGTGAACTCATATTTAATCCCTACTAATATTATAAATGCGAAAGTAACTCTGTCTGTCTGTCTGTTACGCTTTTACGCCTGAACCACTGAACTGATTTTAATGAAATTTGGTACAGAGATAGAGTTGACCTTGAGA